GCCAGGGCTTCCCATGTGCTCAGACCTCCCTGTGCTGCCAGGGAGGTGTGGACGTGAACATCCGGAACACATACAATCAGACGGCCCTGGACATCGTGAACCAGTTCACCACATCCCAGGCCAGCCGGGAAATCAAACAGCTACTGCGGGGTGAGCAGGAGGGAGGAGACGCCTGCCCAAGAGGAGGGTTGCGAAGATGCCCTTAGCTGAGCCCTGCCCTCCCCAACCCCTTCTCAGAGGCCTCAGGGATCCTGAAGGTCCGGGCACTCAAGGACTTCTGGAATCTCCACGATCCCACTGCCCTCAACGTCCGGGCAGGGGACATCATCACGGTGAGGCACCCCTGCGCAGGCTCTTCTTGTGGGATACCAACGATGTCTGTGGCTTATGGGGTTCCCTGCTGTGCTCTGAAACCCTGGGCTAGGATCTTGACATGCGTGCTTGTCTCTTTCCAAATCTATGGAAGGGAGGGGTTATTGCTTTTTGTTGGGCCTCAGAAGTCAGCTCTGTGGGTAGAGGGGAAGACCTGGATCAGGGCTACTGGGAGCAAGGCTGCCATGAGTGACCGTCCCCTCCTCCTGCCAACCGCAGGTGCTTGAGCAGCATCCCGATGGCCGCTGGAAGGGCCATATCCATGAGAGCCAACGGGGCACGGACCGTGTGGGCTACTTCCCCCCAGGCATCGTTGAGGTGGTCAGCAAGCGGGTGGGCGTCCCAGTGCCCCGCCTCCCCGCAGTACCCACACCCCTGCGTCCAGGCTTCCCTCGGACACCACAGCCTCCTGTAGATGACTCCCTGCACCCTCCCCCCTACGGCCAGCTCCCTCGGGTGGGCCTCAGCCCAGACAGCCCAGGTATGTCCTCACAGTGTGCAGTGACGGTGCGCCTGACGGGGTATCTGCCTTAGGCAAGCTGCCAGGCAGCTGTTGGCAGTGCCGACTGAGGTCTGAGCCCTGCGCTTTGCTCTCTGTTCCCCCTCCCCACCATAGCAGGTGACAGGAATAGCGTGGGCAGTGAGGGCAGTGTGGGCAGCATCCGCAGTGCTGGCAGTGGGCAAAGTTCTGAGGGCACCAATGGCCACAGCACCAGCCTCCTTATTGAGAATGCCCAGGTAGGAGAAAGGGATGCTAGGACCAGGGCAGGGTTCACCCCCCCACAGCCAGCTCCCCCAACACTTAGTCGCTCCTTCCCTGTGTGCAGCCACTGCCCTCTGCCGGAGAGGACTCGGTGCTGCCAACACCATACCCCCCAGCCCTGACCGGTAGGAAGAGAAAATGGGACATGGGCTGGCTGGGACAAGTGCATGGGGTGGCTGGGGGTGTGGTACCCTTGCTCTGGCCACCTCATTCCAGTTTTCCCTCCTTCCTTGAAGACACCCTGGGTCACCGCCCTGTGGTCAGCTACCGCTCTGGGGAGCAGATCTCCACTCAGGATGTGAGGCCGGAGCAACTATTGGAGGGGAAAGTGAGTCCTCTGTTGGAGTGTGCTGTGCATCCTGGGTTAGGGCATCTGGGAAGCAGACTGTGGGGACAGGCTGGGCCAAATGGGCTGGGCAATGGCCTTAGCACCTCAAGGCTTGCTCCTGCCCCACAGGATGCCCAGGCCATTCATAACTGGCTGAGTGAGTTTCAGCTGGAGGGCTACACTGCCCACTTCCTTCAGGCTGGCTATGATGTGCCCACCATCAGCCGCATGACGCCTGAGGTGGGTGTTGTGGCCAGGGAGGGAGAGGTGGGGCCCAGCAGGCAGAGCAGGTGGCTTGACTGCCAAGCTGTGTCAATGGCACAGGACCTGACGGCCATTGGGGTGACCAAGCCCGGGCACAGGAAGAAAATCGCCTCAGAGATTGCTCAGCTCAGCATCGCCGAGTGGCTGCCCAACTACATCCCAGTGAGTAGGGGGATCGGGGGCTGTGACTTTGTGGTGAAGCTGGCCGAGGAGCCAATTCTCACCAATGTGTTGTCCTTTCAGGCTGACCTGCTGGAGTGGCTGTGTGCGCTGGGGCTGCCCCAGTACCACAAGCAGCTGGTGAGCAGTGGCTACGACTCCATGGGGCTGGTGGCCGACCTCACCTGGGAGGAGCTGCAGGAGATTGGGGTCAACAAACTCGGTAAAAACCCACTGGCAGGGGACCCCTGGGCCTCAGGTCTCTCCACGAGAAGAGGGGACGGGTGACTGGCGTGACCCTGCCTGGCCACTAACCACGCACCTTCTCTTCATCTGGCTCAGGGCATCAGAAGAAGCTTATGCTGGGGGTGAAGAGGCTGGCGGAGCTCCGCCGGGGTCTGCTGCAGGGGGAAGCCTTGGGCGAAGGTGGGCGCTGGCCTGCCAAAGGCCCAGAGCTGATGGCCATCGAGGGGCTGGAGAATGGAGAGGGCCCACCCCTGCCTGGTGCTGGCCCACGCCTCCTCACCTTCCAGGGCAGTGAGCTGAGCCCAGAGCTGCAAGCAGCCATGGCAGGGGGTGGCCCTGAGCCACTCCCCCTGCCCCCTGCCCGCTCCCCCAGCCAGGAGAGCATTGGAGCACGCTCTCAGGGGTCCGGCCACTCACAGGAACAGCCCACCTCCCAGCCCAGCAGGGTTGACCCCAGCACGCCCCAGGAAAGGAAGCTTCCAGAAGGCACAGAACGGCCCTCCAAGCTTTGCTCCCCACTTCCTGGCCAAGGAACTCCCCCTTATGTTTTCATATACCCGCAGGGCTCACCCTCTAGCCCGGTCCCAGGACCACCTCCTGGTGCACCCCTGGCCTTCTCTTACTTGGCTGGCCCCACAGCCACTGCTCCCCCAGACCCACCTCGGCCCAAGCGCAGGTCTCACAGCTTAAGCCGCCCCAGCCCTGCTGAGGGGGAAACTGAGGGGGAGGCGAAAGGGCCAGTGGGCAGTGCCTTGGGCAGTTATGCCACTCTGACCCGGCGCCCAGGACGCAGTACCCTCACCCGGACCAGTCCTAGCCCAGCCCCGACGCGGGGAGCTCCCCGCAGCCAATCTTTCGCCTTGCGGGCCAGACGCAAAGGCCCCCCGCCCCCACCCCCTAAGCGCCTCAGCTCGGTCTCCGGCCCCACCCCAGAGCCAGCACCACTCGATGGAAACCAAGGCCCCAAGGAGGGGGCCCCGGGGCCCCGAAGAAGAACCCTGAGTGAGCCAACTGGTCCCTCAGAGCCTCCCTGCCCACCCACCCAACCTGGCCCTGCATCGGACACAGAAGAGGAGCCAGGCCCTGAGGGGACACCTCCATCTCGAGGCAGCTCGGGAGAAGGGCTGCCATTTGCAGAAGAGGGCAACCTGACCATCAAACAGCGGCCCAAGCCAGTGGGGCCGCTGCCCCGGGAGACACCTGTGCCCCTGGGCCTCGACTTCAACCTCACTGAGTCAGATACTGTCAAGCGGAGGCCCAAGTGCCGCGAGAGGGAGCCGCTGCAGACCGCTCTGCTGGCCTTTGGGGTGGCCAGTGCCTCTCCCAGCCCCTCTGCCCCCCTGGCCTCTCAGGCCACCAGTGAGTCCCCCTCCACAGCGTCCTCCAGCCCTCCCCGGGCTGAGCCGAGCAGCCTTCCCTCTCCAGGAGCTCCAGCGCCACCTGCTCCTAACTTAGTAACTCAACCCCCTACGACCACGGCAGCTGGACCCAGTCTGGAAAACTCCACAAACAGTCGGCGGAATGGAGAGACTGAACCCCCAACTGCTCCTGCCCTCCTCAAGGTGCCTGGAACAGGTAGGAGGATGGGTCCTACAGGGAGGGGTTGCTGTGGGGAGGGCATGTCCAGCCTTGCTAAGCCAGTAGCCTTTTGTCTCTACAGGAACCGCCCCCAAGCCTGTATCTGTGGCCTGCACACAGCTGGCCTTCTCAGGCCCTAAGCTGGCTCCACGGCTTGGCCCCCGCCCAGTTCCCCCTCCCAGACCTGAGAGCACCGGGGCTGCAGGTCCAGGCCAAGCCCAGCAGAGGCTGGAGCAGACCAGCTCGTCCCTGGCAGCAGCACTGCGGGCAGCAGAGAAGAGCATTGGCACCGAGGAGCGTGAGGGGTAAGGCTGCTGGTACTGCTCCACTCAAGGATGCCGAGAGGGCTGGAGAAGGATGTGGGCGCAGCCTCAGGTTGGGGAGGTCCCTGTTGGTCCAGCCTGCAGGCAGCCCAGGTGCCAGTCAGAGACTCGGGAGATTAGGCAGGCCCCTTGCCCCTGAGCCTCCACAGACGCGTGAGATGGTAGCCCCTATAAACCTTCAAAGCAATGATATAGTGCTTGGCTCCAGGCAGGGCTGGCGGCACCTTCACCCAGGGGGACTGGGTGCAGGCCACTGGTCAATCTCATCCGGTTCTTCTCTTTGCAACAGCCCCCCTGGCACCTCCACCAAACACATTCTAGATGACATCAGCACCATGTTCGATGCCCTAGCTGACCAGCTGGATGCCATGCTGGACTGAGACCCACCCACAGCCCTCAGTGGGGCTTGGCGTGACCTGCAGTGTTCCTGGCCTTTGGCTCAGCAAGAAAGAGGCCCTTGCTCCACCCCCTACCCCATCCCCCACCCAAATGGGAGGGTGGGTGAGGCTGAGGCCTGTGCTTACAGCTGCAGGCAAGTGGCTCTGAGCACTGCAAGGCTGGTGGGGCAGTCCTATGGCAGGAGCCTCGGCCAGCTGAGGGACCTCCCTGTGTCATCTTTCAGGACCCTGGAAAGGGGGTGCTGGCAGGCTTTGTCTTGGGTGTTTTAACTGTGTCGCACTCGAACCCCTGTCTTGAATCCCTGTACCAAGGGGACACCTCTGACCACCTGCTGTGCTACCCTGGCACTCGGAGGTGGTGTGCCAGGCTGTCCCCATCCCACAGATGCACATAGGACATGTAAATGTGAGCAGCCCATGCCTTACTGGCAGTAGCAATACCTTGCCAGCTCCTGCCCCCACCATCTCACTGGGAGGCAGTGGGATTAACAGATCCTTTATACACCTCCCCAGAGTCCAAACTTTTTCAACTGTAAATGTTATTTTTTAAGCAGAGAGAAATGCATATATTTTAAATGAAATTTATTCTATCTATTAACTGCCTGAGAAGACACAGTGGGAGAGGGGTTTGGGAGTCCAGCTGTGCCCAATGCCCCCACCAGGGCTGGAGGCCTGGCCCAGCTGGTACAGGCCCTGGTTCTGTAACCTTGAACCCCTCCCCCAACTAACACCAATGAAAATGTCATTCCATGCAATGGTTGTGTGTGTCTGCCTCTGTGCCCAGGGATCACCCCCAAGTCCAAACTTGGGGTCACCCATTGATGTAGACGGAGGGAGTGATTCCCTTCAGTACCCACAGCCCTAGGGGGAGGTGTGGACCCCCTGGTGACTGCCTCAGGGTCCAGCCACAGGTCTTTTTAATACAAACAGTCTACATTCATCCCTAAAAGGCTCATTTCCAATAAAAAATACATCCCAGTAAAAAACATCTCACAGGGGAGTTGGGGCAGAGCCATGGGAGCCCTGGGCCAGGTACCCCATGAGCACAGGCACAAGAAGGCTGCGGGAAGGGGGCCTTCTCCATCAGGCTCATAGGAGGGGTCCTAGGGGCCTCACCCAGGCCTCGTGCAAGGAAGATAGGGTGTGCAGTGGCAGGGAGGGTATGTCACCACCCCATTCAGCTCTCCCAGCAAGGGCTGAGCCGGTCAGGCCCTGACTATGAGGCCACATCTGGCAACAAAAGCAGAGGTGTTGGGGAGGGGGCGCTCATGGGCATGGGTGCTGAGGGCCCCTCTACATTCAAGAGTATCCAGGGGGAGGGTTGGGGTGTCCTGTCACTTTCAGGAAACCATCCAACTTCACAGGGTGTAAGAACAAACCCTGAAACCTTGATGATACCAACCCTTAGGCTCAAATGGGCCAGGGTGCACGCCGGTGACTCAGAAGGGAGAGTTCATGCCCAGCTTGGTTTCAAACTGCAGCTTCTGTCGCTTCTGGTAGCGGACACGGACCCTGGTAAGGACAGTGTCCAGATTGGCACAGAGCCTCCCAGAGGGCGACGTAGCAGGGGAGGCGGGAGTGATGGCTCCAGGGGACGTGCTGGGGCTCAGCTCACCGGATCTCGTGCAACTTCACAACCTCGTTGGTGACCACCACGAGGACCAGGGACAGGCAGCCCAGGAGCCACGTCAGCAGGGGCACATCCTCCAGGCCAAAGTGGATGCGGCTTTCCCTATGTGTCCACAGCTGCAGGTCCACCACTGTCTGGACCACCTGGCCCAGCAGGCTGCAAGAGGGGGAGGAGGCAGCACCATATGAACCCCGAGGCCTCTGGCTTCTTCCTGTCTTAGCACGACAGCGCAAGGAGACCTCAATCCCAGCCCTTAGGACCCTGTTGGAGAGGAGGGCTACTCACATCACAGGCACCGTCACAGCCCACCAGAGGTTCGTCAGGGGGCTCTTTCTCCACAGGGGCTTGGTACGATGCACGTGGGTGATGGAGATGAAGACTGGAGAGAATGGGAATGAGACAGGGGAACAGCAGGTGTCAAGCTTCCCACTGTCCCAAGCACTTGCTCCCCTTGTCCCTGGCCTCAGCTCGAGAGCATCCTCACCAGTGTGCAGGACAATCAGAGCAGCCGTGAGCTTCTGAGCCGACAGCAGCCCGTTGGCAAAATCCTCAAACCAGGCTGGAGCCCTGGTGTCATCACTGCCAAAGCAAGATGTGGGCTCAGGCTTCTGTGGGTGGGCTCGAAGAGCCAGGAGGTGGGGAGGGCGGGACCCACCTGCGCAGCAGGATGGAGGAACAGTTGGTGAGGTTCCGCACTCGGGCGCTGTCACAGAAGCTCTGCAGTGTGAAGCCAAAGCAGATGAGACACGAGGTGATGGTGAGGCTGAACTTGAGCAAGAAGCAGAGCAGGAAGTAGTGCTGGGTCTGTGGGGGATGGAAGCCGCTCACTGACACAGGGGCCAGCACTGCTGCCAGCTGCACATCAGGCCTGGCACACAGCTGGGCTATTTCACACATTGTGCATGCTCTCAGTGGATGGCCAGCAAGGGGAGTCAGGAGCAGGGCTGAGCAGCAGTCGCTGTACCCCCAGCAAGGACCCCTCTCAGCTTGAACACCAGCTCCTCTTGGATCTGAGCAAAGACCAGGAATCAGGAGCTGCAGTCCAATTCCTCAGCCTTCCAGCTCTGCCCCTGGACCCATCCACAATTGTGTTCCTCCCCTGGAGACCCAGACTCAGGAGTCTGCTTCGCTCACCTTCTTAGGAATGGAGTGAAGGTTTTTCCCTGTGGCCATAGACATGATGGAGCTGTGGGGGGGTTTCCCCAGGAGAGAGATGCTGAAAAGCAGAGATTGGATGAAGAGATGGAGACGGAGACTACGACCTGCTGTCCCCCAGGCCTCATGATGGGGAGACTGGGATTCTCTCTGTGCCTTCTGTCCCATAGCAGACAAGGCCTGAGTGGCTCCTCCGGAACTCTGGCCCAGCAGCCAGGCTGCATTGCTCTCACCTGAGCAGAGGATAGCAGAAACACGACAGCCACAGGATGTCAGTGGTACTCAGCAGTGGGGGTAGCTGAACCAGGCAGGAGAGGAACTAGGCAAGGAGAGTCCAGGAACCCACAATTAGATTCTAGCAAATAACACAATTCTTGTGGCCTCCAGGTGGCCCCACATTATGCCCAGACATATTCACAGCCTGCCTGGAATGGGCACTGTTCTATGAATGGGGGCACCTGCAAAGGCTGCATGGGATCCCTTGACCATGCTGCTACCTCCCTCCTCAGGTCTGAATGGACCCTTTGGCCAAGGAATGGGATGGGTGGGGGCACTGCCTGTGTGGACCCCAACTCACCTGGATGACCACTAGGGTCAGCTGGCACTGCAGCAAGAAGAGGAAGCACTTACGGATGCCGTAGGTGGCATGCCGGGCCTGGGGACCAAGAGGGACACATTAAGGCCCAGACCCCCTCAACTCTCCTGCCTTGCAGCTGACCAGTGCCAACTGAGGGCCATCTACTACCAGTGCTTCTGCAAGGAAGGGGAGGCCGATTTGCCTGCTTGGGAGAGGGCCGCCGGTTCAGAGGGCAGGGGCACGAAGGGCAGATTCTGATCACATCTCAGCTTCCTGCCTCTGGCTGCCCCACGCAGGCCCCAAGCTCCTCTCCCACCCCAATGTGCCCCCACCTGCTCGATGAGCCGGATGATGCTGATGGTCTCCTCCTGGCGGAAAGTCAGGGAGCAGGGTAGGCTATTGAGCTGTCCTGACAGCTGGAGGGGAGAAAGGCCCTCGGAGGCCTGGGCCATGTTGGTGCTGGTGGCATAGCCAAAGGTCTCCCAGGAACAACGGGAAGGGTACAGGGGATCCAGGGCAATGCTGTGGAAGGCAAACCCACCCATCAGTGATGCCCGCTGGGTGGAAACCCTTCCTCCTGCCACCACACCCAGGTGCCTCGAAACTGGCCAAGGCGAGGTGAGCCAGAGGATACGCCCCCAACCCATGTAGGCCTAAGGATGCCTAACAGGTACTTGGCCAGTGCCAGGGCCCCACCCGACCTGATGTCACTCTGGAGGAAGAGGCAGCTATTACGCAGGTTGGCAGAGCTGCCCAGGCAGCAGGTCACCTCACCATATTCCTGCATGATCTTGATCATCTCACACATGGCTGGGAAAAAAAGAACAGTCCATATGGGGATTAGGAGCAGTCACCCATGGGACAGCAGAGCAAAAGGCAGCGGGAGGCCACCTAGCCCAAGCAATATGGTTGCTGTCACTTCTGACTGTCCATAATGGGCATGCCCATGGCTCCAGCTCACTAGACTGCCCAGCCAATCCCAGCCCAGGTTTCTCCACTCCCTGCAAGGGAGACCCACATCCTCCCCTGGGAGCCCAGGGGAGGACCCCCACCGAGCTCACAGAAAGGGGCAGGACTCACTCTCAGGGGTACAGTCAGTGAAGAGGGGCACCAGCAGAGGCACGTTGTCGATGTTCTGCAGGTGAGGCCGCACCTGGTGGATGCCCCGGGGCAGCTTGGCCTGGCAAGAGCAGAGATGCAGCCCTTAGCCTTGGGTCCTGCCACTATGTCTGCCACCCCTCCTCCCTCCCGTCTCTCCCCTGATTCAGCAGGGGCCCACTCCAGAAGGGCAGCAGATAGGAACTGCCACTGTACCCGGTTGCAGTCTTCCAGGAAGCTGGGGATGTCGCTGTCTGTGGGTTGGAAGCTGATGAGGTCCGAGTGACCTTCCTCCTCCATGAGCAGGAGTCCCTCGGCGTCCTCCCGGGACACTGTGGGCAGACCCCATCCTTCACGCGGGGGCCAGCCTTCCGGGGCCTTGTGGGCCCTGCAGATTCACTGGTCTCCACCCCTCTCCTGCTGACTAGTTCTCGTAGGAATATTGGAGCCATTTTCCAAAGGAAGGTACTTGTCAGAAGGGACCTAAGCTGAGGGAAACTTCTCCCCTCCTTCCCAAAACAAGCTTCTGTCCTCACCCTGATTGAGGTCATCATGCAGGGAGCCTGCGTGGCTGGGGCTGGAGGGGGGGATATCGGAGCCAGGCATGTCCCCATTGGGTGTGAGAGAGATGTGGCAGTTCCAGCCTGTCTCCAGACCCATCTTCTCTGCAAACACCTGTAAGAGGCAGATGGCAATGAACAGACAGGCCCCAGCCTGAGAGGAAAAGGGGCAGGGATGGCGGAGGGAGAGCCTCCTCTCCCTCACCTTGCTTTTGAGCTCATCCTCCAAGGAGAAGTAGACAAAGCGGATGCAGGCATTGACCAGCCCGTCGATGAGGCGCACAATGTCCAGCCGGGCCTGGTACTGGGAGGACACCATGCCCATGAAGATCTGGCCGCTCAGGGCCTGCATGCAGTCTTCCTTCTCCAGCACCTCCCCGATCCCTTCTTCAGGCGGGCACAAAGCACAAAGGCCAGCCAGGACGTGGCCAGGACACCCAGGAACCAGCCGATTCCAGGAGGCGGCCCAGGGCCACACCCAAATCATGAGCACGTGGACCCCAGGGGACCACACAGCCACGGCACAGGGAGAAAAGACAACGAAGGGGTTCATCAGTCAGGCAGCCATGCTGAGGAGCCATGGCACGCTGTGGCCACAGCTCCCCCCTGGTCCTGCTCCAGGGCTCCAGGACTGGCCCCACCCTCAGCACTTGCTTCCGCTCACAGTTGCCTGGGTTTGTTCCTGAGACCCTGTGAGTGTGCGTGTGTGGCAGAGCTGGGGGTGGGGAAGAGCTTCTGAGCTGCTGGATCTGGCCAAGTTAGTGACCTTGGCTTTCAGGTGGGTCTAACAAGGCCAATCCCCTCTAAATCCACAATTGCTCTATGTGTGTCTGCCTTGAACTCCCAACAGAACTGTGAGGAGGGCAGAACAAGCTCCCACTTATTGTGGTTGAGAGACAAAGGGAGTCCCCCAGATCATCAGTTAGGGAGAGCCAGGGCTGGCATCCCAGTTGAATGGTGCTCCTAGTGCAGCACCCAGAAGAAGTGCATCTTGGCTGCCATCAAGGACAGAGCCTTTGGGAAGCCCTCCAGCCCCCCGGAACCCCAGCACCTGCCCCTCTCGGGAAGGTATGCGTGATACCGTCAGAACTCCAGCTGCTGCGGCGGGTGCTCGGCTTGATGGGGATGGTGCTAGGTAGCTCGCACATGGTGTAGATGCTGCTGCTCTGGCCAGGCACCTGCACCAGCTCAATGCATTTGCCGTTGAGTTGAGAGGACAGGGTGCAGTTCATTGGCTTGTAGGCGAAAGCGGAGCAATAACCAGACAGGCAAGCTCGCTGGTAGAAATCTAGCACTTTCTTTCTGCCAGGGGAATGGAGTAGAAGTGAGTTGAGTGGTCCTAAAGCGCCACAGGCCTGCAAGATAGGCAGGCGGACAGGCAAGCCCAACCAATGCTGATCACTCACCTGTCAGAACCTGAGAGGGGGTAAATGTCAGCTCCATCCCAGAAGTCTGTGCAGGCCTCCAGGACCACATCGGCCGTGCCATGGGACAGCATCTGCTCTGTGCCTGAGTGGGCAGGGTGAAGAAAAGCCTGGCTGAGTGTCCTTCTTTCTGACTGCCAGGTGCACACAGCCAGTGACAAAGGGGACATCTCAAGCCAATACGAGGTCGAGCAAGTCCCAAGGGAAAACCACTGGGCAGGTAAAGCAGACACTAATGCTTCCAGGTCTTTGGACAATCCATCTTCTGTGGTCACCACCATCCCAACCTTGGCCCTCAACTCCAATCCCTTTCATCTGCCCAGTCTTCCCTAGCAACAGGCGGGGCAGGGTAGAACCCATGCCAAGCTCTGGAGTGTAGTGCGAAGCAGGCCGGCCAGGTTGGGGTGCTCACTGGTGGTGGTGTCCTTGATGAAGAGGCTGATCATGTGGCTGAGGGGAGGCCGCCGCTTGGTGACACACGAGAGCCGCCCTAGCGAGGTCTCCTTCACTGTCTCTGCGCTGGGGAGGCGGTACAGTGCCAAGTGATTCTGCTGCTTGAAGAGCTCCTTGGCCCCAGGAGTGAAACCTACAGGGCAAGCAACAGGCACTTCAGGTCCTCCAGGTGGAGGTTCACAGCACCTCAGCTCCCTAGGGACTCGGGTAGGGCCTAACCCTAACCCTGTTTGAATAAAGTCTGAGGCACAGAGAGCCTGTGACGGGCTCCCAAGGAGAGCACCTACCAATGAGGCGGGCCAGCTCGCAGAGGCCCCAGGGCACGTGCACAGGGAGCACGGCACTGTGGCTCTCCTGCAGCGCAATGTTGCACAGGTGGTCTGAGAAGCGGCACAAGCGCTCGGTCACGCTGGCGTTGCACAGGTTCAGCAGCACATTGAGGCCCAACGGTTTGAGGGAAGTGAGGTGCAGCTGCCAATTGGTGTCATCAAACTGGATACAGGAAGGGTTTTGCTGGTCCTGGGACAGGCTCAGCATCTCTAGATGGTAGTCACACACAAAATCCTCAGCCTCATAGGGGTCCCTCTCCGTCCCAGGCTGGGCCTGCAGGAACCACAGTGGGAAAGAGGTGAGGGCAGGCCCTGGACTCACCTTCCTCCAAGCAGGGTAGAGGGCGCCTTCCCACTGCCGCCCAGAGCCACACCCGAACAGCCCCCTTCCTAGGTCACAGCGCTCATGCCCGTCCTCCCTCTCCCTTACAGAATCTTGCTCTCATACATCTTGGGCTCCTGTCTGGTGCCAGCACCTAGACCAGGGACCTGGCAGCAATGAAATCAAGCGACAGCCAGACCAGTGAGGAAACCAAGGGCTCTTCCTAGCCTGGGGACATGGTCAGGATCAGCCCACTAGCCCACTGGCTTTGTGTGTTTACAGGACTCAAATCAGGAAGCCAGGGACCACTGGTGAGCAGTGGAGGGGGTGGGCCCAGGTCACAGAAGGGAATCAGGCAAGGCCGACCTGCTGGCCAGGCCGGGGTACTGAGACTTCTCTGCTCTTTCTGACCCCATGGGTCCAGACTAGGCTGTACCCCTTTAGCAGGAGGGGCCAGGACGGCCAGAACGCCAAGGAGGCCATTCAGCTCAGCCTCCCTGTGCTCACCTTGGCAGCCTCCTCCTCGCCACCCTCGGTGTCCCTGCTGAAGCTCACACTGGAGCCAGATGGGTGTTTGCTGCGGCCATGCATCTTGTGGCGAGGCTGGGGCTCGGGGGGCTTGGTGCCATCGCCAGGCCAGTCACCATGCTCCTGCTCGTTGGAAAGGTGCAGGGAATTGCTCAGGGAACCAGCCAGGAGGGCATCTTGTTCATGGGGCTGAGAAGAACAGGGAGCACAGGCCTAGGACTGGGGCCCGACAGTTCTGGGCCCTTCAGGGCTTCGCTTCTGTGGCTCAGAAGCACACCACAAGGGTGCCGGAAGCCTCCTTCCTCTCCCCAAGACCATGCAGCAAGGCCCACAGTCAGGCCCATGAGAGCCGAACCTCTTCCTCGACGTCCGGATGGCAAAAGGAGCGGGTAGACAGGTCATCTGGGAGGTCCTCGTGGCTGCTGTGAGGGGGCTCTACCTTCCCACTGAAGAACAGCACTGTCTCCGGGCTGGGGTTTGGCCAGGACAGGATCCCCTGTTTGTCTACACAGCACAGGACCTGCAAGGGAGAGAAGTGGGATGTAGGATGGTTCTGGGCATCAGCCCTGTGTGCCCAGGAGCAACCTACAGGCCAACGGATAATCAGAGTCATCCAGACTGTGGGCCTGGAGTGGCAAACGCCCTACCATAAGAGCCAGCTCACCGTGACCGAGCCCAAGCTATGCAACAGGCTGGAACTGTGGCTCAGTGTTGGCGACGTCCCCCGGATCACCCTGAGGAAGTGGCCCCAAATGCAGCGCAGCATCTCCTGGTTGGAAGGCAATTGGGAGCTCAGCCTACTTCCCTGAAGATGGCCACTAGGGTAAGACTTGGGGCAAGTCTGAGAGAGCAATGGAAGCTGGAGTAGAGAGGCCCTTGTGTGGGGCAGGGCACCCGTGTGTTAAAGGAACAGGCCCAGCTCTAAGGCGGACAGGGCTGGGGTTAGAGTTTCGGAGTCCAGCTGGAGGCCCCAGGGCTCCAGGAAGAAGCCTGAGGGAGCTGGGCTGGCTCCAGGGACCTGAGGTCAGTGTACCTGGGAGGAGGTGGCTTCTGTGTAGCTGCTGAGAGTGTCCTCCGAGAACTTGGCCAGCTGCAGAGAGAGCGTACACTTTAGTGAGGGAAAAGCTATCTTCGAAGGTCCTTTATACTGGCCAGGAAGGGGACACACATGGGCAAGGTGCCCAGTCCCAGAGCTATAAAGGGCAAAGGGCAGCCCTGACCCATTGGAAAGGGTCACATGGATGCTCATTTACCCTAGGGCCTGGCCAGAGGCTCCTCAGGTACAGAGGACTTGAGCCCTTGAAGTGCCTTCCACTGTCTCTGCATGCCCAGCCCACAGCAGGCCTGGATTTCTGCCACCAGGGCCCTGGCTTTCCATCAGCCAGAGGCATGGGAGCCACCTACCAGGGAGCTGGGCGAGGCCTTGCTCATCTGGGCCAGGACACGGGCTTCTCCACAGGCCGTTGCGAGAACCCAGAGGACCGGAAAGAGCAGGGGGAGGACAGGCAGCATGCCGTTCACCTGGGGGAGCGGACACGACAGGCCCTAAGCAGCTGTGAGCCTGGGGAGGGAAGGGTTGGCCCTGGCCATGGGGCTGCCCCTGGATGGAAAAAGTCAACCATCTGGGAGCCAGGCGAGGCAGGGAAGGAGGAGCTCCGGGGCAGAGGCCTGGGTGGCCCCTGGGCTGCAGACAGTGACAGGCAACAGAGAAGAATGGTGTCCTCACCTGCAGCTGGAGGAGTGTGTACTGCCAGGAGGTGACCCCGGGAGCATGGAATATGAAGCGCAGGGCATTGGTGAGCAGGAATCCAGCCTAGAAAAACAGTGGGAAAACTGTGGCCTAAAGCCCACGCCTACCAGGCAGCTAGGCCCCATGGCTCCCTCCCTTTTGGGCCCTCTGCCTTCGTTTTTGTGCCTGTCTGGGTCTGACCCCAGAGGTTCCTCAAGATTGGCGCCCTCCCCGCCCCTGGAAGCCTGCCCTGGGACGCACCAAGACCACAGGCACAGCATAGTGCAGCATCCCGCACTGCACTGTGAACCTCTCATTGTCCAGAGCAGTGACTGGGCGGGACAGGGCCATGTCCAGGGACCATCTGCAGAGAGAAGGGAGCCTCAGAGCCCAACCAAGGGGAGAGGCCAGAACCACCCATGCTGGAGGGATTGCGAGTCTCTTGGTCCAGACTGAGCATTAGCCTGTCCTTAAGAAGCCTTGGAGTGACCAAGGCCCCTACCCCATGGGACACCCCAGGGAGAGGATGGCGACAGGAGGAGGCAGAGAAGCCCCCTACCTGACATTGTCAATCACAGGGGTCTCCAGGACGCGGAAGAGCCGGTGCTGCTGGGGGTTCTGGGGTCCTTTCTTCACTTCTCCCCGGGGTGAGGGTGGTGGGGAGAAAGGCGGAAACAGGTCCCCTGGCTCCAGGACAATGTGCTCATCATCCTGCAGCAGCGAGAGGACAGCGAGAGGAGGGAAGGCCTTATGGTGGCCACTCATGCTGGAGCCGCCTCCCAGGGCTGGAGCCGTCAATCAGTAGCATCATTTGGGACTGGGTTCCTAGTGCTAAAGGACCCAGGAAGCCTTGCCATGAAGCCCACATGCAGGCCGGAAGCTTCAGAATCAAGCCCAGGAGTTCCCCTCCCCACACTTCCCCCATGGCCTGTGGCTGGTGCCACCACATGCATGTCCCGGGAAGGAGCACAGCTGAAAGCTACCTTGATCCCTCTCAGAGATGCAAAAGACTCTTGGCCAGGTCTCAGGGCTATGATGTCTCCTTCCACCAACAGGCTGACTGGCAGGTTGACCAGATGTCCATCCCGATAGGCCCAGTGCAGGGACCAGGATGGTGCAAAGGGCATGTGGAGGTCTGGATACAGGGTATTGGGCCACTTGATCTCCTTGTCATCCCTAAGCGCATCTAACAAAAATGGAGAGTAGGAAAATGCCTTTCTTACCCACAACTCCAGACACCAGCCAGCTGTTGTCACTGCCCTTCTACCTTCCCTGAAGGTCTGCGCCAACCTAAACCTTGTGTCCAACATGACACCAGCCTGGGCACCTCCACCTCCTCTCAACGCCTGGAGCTCTGCGCTTGGACCCCCATCCCAATCAAATGCACCTGCCAGGTATTGCTCAGGGCCTGCAAGGTCAGGGGAAGACAACAGGGTCCCTGCCCCACAGTAACCACAAGCCAGTGGGTGGCTTAACAAAGACCACAGTGAAGTGGCAGTATTGGAGCAGGAGCAGACCCATCATCTGGCCGATCTAATCAGCACCCAGGAGAAGGAGAGCTTGGGATGGGCCCTGAGGAATAGGCTGGAGTCAGTCACATGGAACAGCTCACCAGACAGAGAACAGTGGGACATAGGCCTGTAGGCAGCCTGGTCCCCAAGGATCTGGACAACAGGAAGGACAACTACCCTGTCCTCTAGGAAGGAGGCTGCTCCCTTGTGGGTTCCTGGATCCCCCACCCCAGCCCCGGGACTGTAGCGTCTCAGAATTCTCTATCCATCTGTCTCCTCACTTCCCCAGGCCCCATGCTACCAGGCAAGACAGACTTGGAAGAAAAAACTGCAGCTGTGTTCCTGCCAAGAGGGGGTCTTCCCGGGGCCAGCACTGTGACGTGATGGGTGAAGCCACCACTAGTGATGCTGGCCTCCCATAATAGTACCAGTTCAAGACCGAGCTGTTCCACTTCCTATCCAGCTTCCAGGTAGTGAGCATGGGAGAGCATCTGAGGATGGCCCCAGCACTTGCACTCCTGCACCCATGTGGGAGACCAGGAAGAAGCCCCAGGCTCCTGGCTTCATACAGGCCTAGTTCTGGCCATTGCTGCTATTTGGGGAGTAAATCAAATAGAAGATTTTTCTCTCTTTCTCCCCCTCTCTTTCTCACACTGTACCTCTGCCTTTCCAATAAATAAATAAATAATTTTACATTCTTTTTTATTAGAAAGTCAGATATACAGAGAGGAGAAGAGACAAAGAAGATCTTCTGGGGCTGCCGGGATCAGAACCGGCGTGCACATGGGATCCCAGCATGTGTAATCAAGGACTTTAGCTGCTAGGCTACCACACCAGGCCCTAAATACATATTTTTTTAACGATTTATTTATTGGAAATGCAGATCTTACATGGAGATACAGAGAAACATCTTCCATCTGCTTCTTCTAGGTCTCTCACGTGGGTGCAGGGGCCCAAGGCTTTGGGCCATCCTTGACTGCTTTCCCAGACCACGAGCAGGGAGCTGGATCGGAAGTAGAGTAGCTAAGACATGGACCGGTGCCCCAATGGGATCCCGGCATTTGCAAAGTGAGGATTAACCAACTGAGTCATCATACCAGGCCCTAGATCAACAAATCTTTTAAAAAATGAAGGAAGAAAGAAAGAGGGGTCTTCTTGTTCACGTTCCCAGCGTTAGCAAGTCCACAAGCCTCACTGTGTCACCATCAGTCCTCCTGTGCCCCAGCGGCATGCATGACTCTCACATGCCCACTTAGGGCTGGCACTGTGCCCAGCCAATGAAGCTGCCACTCAGGATGCTCACATCCTACACCGAGTGCCTGGTTTCAGTCCTGACTACTCCTCACTTCCAATCCAGCAGCCTGCTAGCATGCCTAGCAGGCAGAGAAGGATGGCCACATGCACTTGGTTCACTTCCAACCAACTCCATGGGAGACCAGGATGCAGCTCCCCATCCCTGGATTCAGCAAGGCCTGGCCCCAGCTGCTGCGGGCATTGGGGGTACACCAGCAAGCAAATGATCCCTCTCCCTCATTCTCTGTCACTCTACCTTTCAAATACTAAATGGATGGCTAGGAATGTAGGTAGACAGACAGACAGGCGGCCAGGACATCCTTCTTCTGCCCAGAGGACAGCCCCCGGGGCATGAGGCAAGCTCTCACACACAAGGGCATCTTCCCCAGCAGCTTCCCCAGGGCATCTACCTGGCACTGGCCTCACCTTGGATCTGGTCGATGATCCCACGGAGCCTCCGCTCTACCTCCCGACGCTTCAGCCAGGCTTGCCACCACGTGAGAACGAGGGTAAGAAGCAGCAGCAGAAACAGCGCCAAGGCGTTCACCAGCTCCACTCCAGCACTGGCTCAGAACAGTGGGTGTATTGACAGAGCATCCCTAGCCTGCAGGACCCCACAAACCCCTTCCTAGCCCAGATCCTTTTTGTTTTTGTGTGTGTGTGTGTGTGTGTTTTTTTTTTTTTTTCCCCAGCTTCTGCTAATTCTGTGGCCCCAACCAGGCCTTGGGTGCCAGTTGAAGGATTGAAGAGATTCTTATACCATTCCTGAGCCCCTCCCAGCCCTGGAATGGTGGGTGGGGCAATAGGGGGCAGCTGTCCAGAGCAGGGACGTCCCTCTTACCTCCCCGCTGGCTGGCCCCCATGACAGCCGAGCAGCAGCAGCGCGGCCAGCAGCATCAGTGAGGCCCCCGGCCAATGGAAACAGGAGCAGCGGTTACTGTGGTGCAGAAAGCTGCTTCTCCACGCCTCCTAGGGAGGGACGGCGGCAGGCAGTGAGCAGCCTCCCACAGCCCACTCTCCCCAGCCCCACAGGGGCCAGACTGCTGGGCTCCTGCAGCACGTGGGGTCAGGAAGCTGCCTTCTGTCTGACAGCCCAAGAGGCTTAAGGGGGTCACACCACCCAGTGGTCAGCTGCTTGCAGCCTCAGGGGTCACACAGCCCAGAGGTCAGCCTCAAGCAGGGTTCCCTCCATCACACATGCGTGGGGGCTACTTCCCCACAGGAAACATTTCACAGAAGACATGCTTCACCTTCCACGTCTGACACTTGTTGCGCTCCCTGAGGTGTCCATCCAGCACCGCCTCCAGCTGTTCCTTCAGGATGCTCAGGGCTTTCCGGGTGGACAGGCCCAGGGCCGAGGGGGGCTCTCCCTGCAGAGAACAGGCTGTGCTCAGCGGCTCCCCAACACCCCAGGTCACTGCAGGCTGGACAGTTACTTGTACCTCCCACTCCCTAGGCCTCCCTCCCTCCGTCATTCCCACTTCTCTCCTGGCTCTCTTGGGGTCAGCGTGGTGGCTCAACAAGCTAATCCTCTATGTACAAGCACCAGCATCCTGTATGGGCACCAGTTCATGTCCCAGTTGCTCCACTTCCCATCCAGCTTCCTACTTCTGGTCTCAAAAACAACAGAGAATGATTTAATTCTTTGGGCCCCTGCACCTATGTGAGAGACCTGGGGGAGGCTCTTGGCTCCTGGCTTCTGATTAGTTCAGCTCCAGCCATAGTGGCCATTGGGGAGTCAATGAGTGAATGCAAAAATCTCTCCATGTCTCCTTCTTCCTGTAAATCTGAATTTCCAATAAAAACAAGTACATCTTGAAACAAAAACAACAAAAACTGGCTCTCCAACATGGCAAGCGGACACCCTAACCAGTCACTTCACCTTTTCGCCAAAGGCCCACTCCTACTCAGGATCTTCTCACTCACCTTCACTTGATTACCTAGTGCCATCCGGCTAATTCCATCCCCCTGACTGCTCCTGCCACCAACCTCCCAAGTTGTCTCAAGGATTCTGCTCTTTCAGATTTTTCAAGAGCAGCTCCTACAGCACTGAGGTGCTAGGAAGGACCCAACACCAAGAAAATGAAAGCTGGGCCTGACACAGTAGCCTAGTGGCTAAAATCTTCGTCTTGCAAGCACTGGGATCCCAAATATGTGCCAATTCATATCCTAGCTGTTCCACTTCCCATCTAGCTCCTTGCTTGTGACCAGTCAAGGATGGCCCAGAAACCTTGGGACCCTGCACTCTAGAAGAAGCTCCTGGCTCCTGGCTTCGGATCAGCTTGACTCCAGCCATTGTGGCCACTTGGGGAGAGAACTACCAGATGGAAGATCTTTCTCTATGTCTCTCTTTCTCTCTGTAAATCTTACAAATAAAAATAAATTAATCTTTAAAAGAAGAAAGAAAGAAAGAAAATGAAAAATATGAAGAAGAAAAAAAAAGGTAAATGAAAGCTGTGTCCAGAGATGGAGCACACAGCAGCTCCACCACCCCCTCCTGGCACCACGGACAGGGGCTGGGATGGGAGTGGACAAGGACTAGCCAGATTACCCCCTGAGCCCTCCTGCTATGTTGAGACCACCCCTTTGGTCAGACCCCATCTCCTCTTTTCCTGCAGTCCATCCTAAGTCAGCTTTCAACTGTTATATATTTCCTAGGCAACTTCTCCATAGTCACAGATTCACCCCTAATACACTTCGACTCCTACAGTTGAATTCGAGCCTGACCACCACCCTGAAGTAGGCTAGCCACACCTCCTGAAGTGCCCTTAGCTATTTGACAAGAACCCAAGTGAGCATCATATGTCCAACATTCCAGCCATGCCAGCCAGTCCTTGCCACCAGTATGCCCTCTCCCTCCTAACACTCTGGAATATCCCAGACAGACCTTGGTCCTACCCCAACTCTAGTTCCCAACATTGCCCTTTCCACAGCAGTGTAGCAGAACAGACACATGCCCCTTAACCTGAAAATCCAGTACAGACCCCAGCACCTGCGTAGTGAGGCCCTTCCCAGCCACCTCCCTGCCATTCCTCCCACGTGCCTGTCTCCAGGGATGTCCTGGCTGCCCACCCTCCACAGCTCTTGCTTCTCCTTCCAGGCTCTGCTCAGAGACTGGCATTGTAGCACAGCGAGTGAAGCCACCACATGCAAAGCTAGCATCCCATGCAAGTGCCAGTCAGAGTCCTACTGCTCATCAAACCAGTCCAGCTAACATGTCTGGGGACGCAGCGGAGGAAGGTCCACATGCCTGGGCCGCTGCTGTCCAAGCAGGCAGAGTTCCCAGGCTCCTGGTTCCAGCCTAGGTCTGGTCCAGCCTACCTGCTGCAGTCAAAAGAATAAGATTTATTTATTTTTATTGGAAAGTCAGATTTACAGAGAGGAGACGCAGAAAGATCTTCCATCCATTGGTTCATTCCCCACATGACAGCAATGGCTGGAGCTGAGCCAATCCAAAGCCAGGAGCCAGGAGCTTCTTCCAAGTCTCTCATGCTGGGGGCAGGGTCCCAAGGCTTTGGGCCGTCCTCTACTACTTTCGCAGGCCACAAGCAAGGAGCTGGATGGGAAGTTGAGAAGCCAGGACATGAATTGGTACCCATATGGAATGCTGAATGCTGAAGTTTGCAAGGTGAGGACTGGCCAACTGAGCCATCTCACCAGCCTCCTCAAATAAAGAAATCTTAAAAAAAAGAGACTTGGCTCAGGCATCACCTTCTCAAGGCTGTTGTCCCCAAGCCCGACTATGCACGGCAGGGAGGGTCTGCGTGATGGCTCTCACTCAACTGCCAATTCTTGAATATAGGGACTACGCATTTTCATTTCAGCATGTCCTGCCCTACCTCTCCAACTACTAGGAAAATGCCTGCTGCATACAAGCTCAATGAATGAATGGAAGAACAACGATACCTTTTTAAATATTATCTTTTGCAATCATTGTTTTAATTACTTATTTATTTTCACTTTACTTGAAAGGCAAAGACAGACATTTTTTCATCTACTGGTTCACTCCTCAAATGTCTATAATAGCCAGGTCTGGGCCAGCTCAAAGCCACAAGCATAGAAGCCAATCCAAGTCTCCCATGCAGATAGCAGGGGCCCAAGCACTTAGGTCCCCACCTGCTGTCTCCCAAGATACACACTTACCATGCAGCTGGGCTGAAAATGGAACCAGGCATAAACCGGGCACTCTGATACTGGATGCAAGCATCCCTAGCAACATCTTAACCTATACCCCCTACCTCACTCTGGCAACAATACCTTAATCAGGGCCTATCAAACAAGTCTGTAAGAAAACAAACAAGTCTGTAGCAGAACACCTGGAGTTTTTAAAAACAAGGGTGTCAAGGCCCCACCCTGGATATACTGAAGCCACATCCTTGGGATGAAGCCAATTCCAGGCCGAACTGTTAGGGTCTGGTTTTGGCTGCCCCCCAGAAATGACAAAGAATTTCACTGGTAATGCAAAAGCAAGCAGTTTATTGTGCCAGCATGCTGGGGTCAGACCGTTCTTGGGGCATGCAGGCCAGCCAAGGGGGGTTCGGACCCTGAACCAGAGAAAGGCTTCTGATTCTATAGGGCTCTCTTGGGCATTACATACATCATAGCCCACACAAATCCAAACACAGCAAGTCAATTTTAAGAATAACACATTATCCAATCAAAGTAACACACTTCAAACACATCATGGCCATGGGATCTGGGTATCAATAGCACATCCCGTTTCCTAGAACTGGACCCGGGTGGATTCTGTAGATAGGGCTTGGGACACTGGTCAGTAGCCCTAACTCATCCTGATTAGGGTGGCATCTCCCAATGGCCTTGGCTTATCCTAACTAAGCAAAGCAGTGGCTTCTTGGCACCAAGGGGCCTGACAGCCTGGCCTAGCATTCTACTATTCTAATACTCTAACACTATACTGACACTCTAACAGAACAAAATTCTCAACTCTGGAGTCCTATAGCAAAGTTAGCTCCCAGAAAGGCCTGAAGGGAGTCCATCCTGAGGGCCCCTGAAGAGCACCAACATGCACTTGCATCAGCAAAGTTCCTGAGCTGGAGGAGTGCATCCAGGCCCTATGGCACCGAGGAAGGGACTCCTGAGAAGGCCAGGTTAAGGGCACTGGGCCCAGGCTGCTGTGTCTCGCAGCCCAGCCTCTCCATTAAGGCCCACAGAACTGCCCTTCTGGCACCCTGCACCAGGGAGAAACCCACACTGGCTTTGTCAGCTGAAGAACATTCTCTTGTCTCCAAAGAATGTCCTCTTGGACAACTAGGCCTCAACCCCTGCAGGACACACAGCTCGGATAGGGCAGGTTCCTCTGCCACATCCCTGGCCTTGTGGCTGCGCCTGAGAGCGGCCTCCAGGGCTGGCCTGCTGCCAGCTCCCAGTGCTGCAAGATGAGCAGGGGCTTCCAGAAGGGGCCCAGCAGAAGCTTCCCAGCTCCCGGCCTAAATCTCCCCAAATCCCTGCTCTCCACGGTGGCTTTGGGGGATTATGCAGATAAGAACTGCTTCTTCCCCAATGGGATAAACTGGTTATTTCAGCTCCCCCAGGAATGGGCCCACCACCCCCCACCCCCCCACCCTGCCTGGGGAACTACTGTTCTCCAAAGCCCACAGGTCTGAAGCTGGAACTACTGCCTCCTGGAGCTCCTGTCAAGGAGGGGCAGAAAGCTCAGGGAGGAAGAGGAGGGGAAGAGGAAGAGGAAAAGAAAGCAGGAAACCTTCTCCTATCGAAGGGGTTGAGCCACAGTGCTGTGCCAGATCCTCCCTCCCAAAGAAGCTGAGGACCCGGCCAGAGTAGTTCCCAGGAAGCCCAGCAGAGAAATCCAGGCCTCCGCAGCCTTCCCTCTTTGGGGCCTCTGTCCCTGGGCTCAGTGCCCCAGGCTCAGCCTTCCAGGCTTCCTTCTGACAGCAGTTCCCAGGATGGACTTGCCTGGGCCAGACCTCCCAAAGTGATCAAGTGAGAGAACACACTGGAGGCAGAAGTGCTAGGGTTGGCCTGCACATCCAGGAGAGGGGAATGGGAAGAAGACAGGAGACTGCTGGGGGCCCTGAAACGAAGCACCCTCCATTCAGAAAGGTCATTTTCAAAAGGGCAGAAGACAGTCTACAGCCGATGGGGGGGTGGTGCCTGTCCTCCTGCTGGGCCTGCACACCTGGGCACTTCCCATCCCCAGGGGTCACATGGTGGGCGTCCTACCACCTGCTGGCTCTGTGCGGCCAGTCAGAGCCCAGGACAGACTCCTCTTCTCGCCACTATCCAGTCTGTCACACTTGTTGCCCCCCCCCCAGGTGCTAGTGGCTGTACTCTGCCCTCACCAGGTGGAGGAGGGATGGGCCAGAGGGTGGCAGATGATCCCGGGGCAGGG